TTACCACGCAGTCCGTGAGTGTTCCCCATTGCTCAAAATGGCTCCTCAGGCTCTCGTCGGTCGTTTCGAAGCTCAGCCCTCCAATGAAGAGCTTCCGCAGCTGTTCGGGCTCTTTGGGAGACTAAACGGAGGAAAGAGCGGTTAGCCAAGGGGATGGGGCTTGGGAGAAGGAAGCCACTCCACGCATCAACACAGGCCGCACTTTTTTTTCTTTTATTGTTCTTTATCACTGCGCAGGACCACGTGCTCCTCCCTGGGCCAGGAGGTGCTGCTGGGGGACGAGCAGGCAGCGCATGCGTCCCCACTCCATACGCACGCGCAACAAAAGACATGGGCTGGACTGGTCAATCGCCATTAACACTTAATGGCTCCTAAATACATTTATTAGACAAAGCCAAAAAAGGGAAAAAAATAACCAGAGTCACAACACTCAAAACTGTTTGTCTCTGAATTGTGCCACAAGGCGCCGTGCGTGGAGATCAGTAGTCAGCGGACGGCAGCCTCATGGCGACTGCGAGGACAAAATGGCGGCCTGCACTTTGTGAGCAGGCCTCGGCGAAGACCGATCCCACACCGACAGCACGGGAGCCGGCATCAAAATCAGGTCAGATCCCGCCATATTCGTAAAGTATGAAAGAAGACGAAGCTGCAGAGCGCGCCCAACTCACCTCGGACTTGGACATGGCGGCAGGGCAACGAGAGCCTTCAGCGATGCTTCCCCGGGCGCGTCAACAGGCAGAAAGGAGTGAGCCGACGAACGCACCCGCCAGCCTACCTTCTGCGCGCCCTTTTATCCCGCCTCCGCGCTCTCGGCATTGGCAGACTCCGCCCTTGCTTCACTCTGATTGGAGATCTGAAGTTGTTCCCGCCCACTATTGGCCAGTGGACCCGCCCTGCTCAGAGACATCATCTGTTTGGGCGTTCTACGCAGTCTCCGCCCCCTGGCGTCCCTGAGGCCCCAGGATCTGTTATTTTTAACCAGATTATTGGCTAGATTATCTTTTTTTTTTTGGTATTTGAATGTAACCATGTCTTTAAACGCTTTTTATAACTTTCCAGCGCCGAACATTACAAACTCACTTGGCAAAACACGATACGTTAGAAAAGTAGTTCGTACCACTTTTTTCAGCCACCACCCACAGAGCGCATGTGTAATAAAAAATGGCGAGTTTACGCCGGCGCACTAAGAAGTTCCGCTTGCCTCCTGTAACACGTGAAATGGCGGGCGGGAGAGGGTTGTGAACCTAAGGCGCCTGCGTGGTGGCGGGAGCTGCGTCCTGTTTTGCGCAGGCGTTTAGGGCGGAGAAAAAGGTCTGGGCCCGGGATTGGTTGCGCAGGCGCAGGGAAGGATCCGTTTTGGCGGGCGGTTGGCGTTGCGCAGAAGGCGGCGGTAGCGGTGGCTTGTGGTGCAGCTTTACCACAGAAGAACCGCGCAGGCCTTAGTGTGAGTGGTCACTGTAGCTCCCGGGTAAGTGGCAGAGAGTCTAGACTACCCGTACGAGATGTTGGACCCGCTCCAACTGGACTCGTTATTGTACGAAATGAATGGACCGCTGGACTGGGGGGGAACGGCAGTGGAGGGGCCGCGATGGGTCGGGCCAGCCAATGGGAGAGCTGGGGGCGGGATGTTTTAAGCCTCGCAGGTTCTTTTGAGCTGCGCTACCAAAGCGTTTGACTGGCGGGGATACAGGCCAATTGGGTCTTCCTACAGCCGCCTGCCGCTCGGCCCTTGGGCCATCGGAATGTGGGAGGCGGGCTTCTCCCGCCTGAGTTGCGTCTCTCCGAGCCAATGAGCCCCAAGCGCGCGATAGGCCGGCCTTCTAGAGGCAGAGACTGGACTCCAAAGGAGAGCGCGCGAGTCGGCAGGTTTAATTCATGGACCCCAGCCTGGAGCCCCTAAATGGACAGACTCTCGGAAAGAGATGTTTACTCTTGGAGGGAGTTGTGAGGGTGCATATTTTATCTACAATGACTCCTATAAAGGAGGCATTCATTTAGTACATCACCTTAACGAAAGCATGCTTTTTTTTTTTTTTTTTTTTTTTTTTGGTGCCCCTCGAGTTTGGTCTCTTTCTTGCTCTTTTCGGTACGTTCCACTCTTCTCTTGATATTTTGAAGGACTTAGGGAGGGAGGTTTTAGTTTTTGAAAACTTTTAAAGGAGAATATTTAAAATTTTAGAGTGAAATGGCTACCTATTACTGTAATGGAGAGCATCCAAGAAAAATAGACTTACCTCCACCACAATTCTATTTCTGTGGCCACAGAGGAAGCTTTTGAGAGCTACATGACCAAGTGTTGCTTCTATGGACGCAATGGGGTAGAGGCCTGCTGTATGTCTATTTGAGGGATAATTGTCATTAATGAAAAGCTTAATAAAAAAAAATGGATTCATTTGGGGTTTTTTTTTTGGTTGTTGTTTCCAGTCATCATGTGCTTCTCACCATCATTCAGGTCTCCAATTGTTTAATCTGAGTCACCGAGCAACTTTTTTTAAAGTTTCTCTGTGTAACCCCCATGGCTGTCTTGGAATTGGCTTTGTAGATCAGGCTGGCTTCAAACTCACAGAGATCCGCCTGCCTCTGCCTCCTGGAGTGCTGGGATTAAAGGCGTGGGCCACCACCGCCCGGCCCCTTGTATTTCATCTGCAGTCTTTGGTATTAATAATGCCCACACTTCTTAGAGGATCTGGACAAATGTGTAATTTTTGTTTATTACCTGTCCGTTGATTTATTTTGAGTCAAGGAGAAATATTTAGATTCATGATGAATAACTTTTGAGGTGCACTTGTAATTAGAAAATACTTTCCAGCCTGGCTTAGTTTGAACACCTTTGATCCCAGCACTTGAGAGACAAAGATAGGTAGATGAATCTCTCTTGAGTTTGAGGCCAGCCTTTGTCTACAAAATTCTAGGACAGCTAGAGGTACATAGTGAGACCCTGTCTAGAAAAACATATAAAAAATAAAAAGAAGAAAATACTTTCCAACTTTGTACAAAAGACTGATGATTTCAGCTTAATTTTGTGTTTTGTTTTTGAGAAACTTTATATCCCAGGCTGGCCTCAAATGAAGGGATCTGCCTGTTCCCGTTTTGAGTGCTGGGATTAGAAGCCTATGCTACCATGCCTGACAGACTAGTGAAGTTTGTAATGAGTAGAGATTTCCACACTGATACTTGGACAAACACGTTTTTTATAACTGGTTACCTACTTATGCTAATAATGCAGTTGCAGAGCTCAGCTCCAAAGCAATAGTGTTCTCATGCATCTACCTAGATACAGTTTCTGGTGTGGGGGGGTGTCGCTGGGTTCAGGACAAGGTTTCTCTGTGTGGCCATGCCTGTCCTGGAACTTGGTAGACCATACTGGAGTAGACCATACTGGCCTTGAACTCAGAGAACCCCCTGCCTCTGCCTCCTGAGTGCTGGAACCAGAGGTGTGCACCACTCAGAGAACCTCCTGCCTCTGCCTCCTAAGTGCTGGAACCAGAGGTGTGTACCAGTGTTGCTATGTCTTTTGTTTCTTTCTTTCTTTCTTTCTTTCTTTCTTTCTTTCTTTCTTTCTTTCTTTCTTTCTTTCTTTCTTTCTTTTTTAAATAAAGTCTCAATCTAAAATGACTGATGCTAGAATTTATTATTTTCAGATATTTTAGATTGATATTAACAGTGTGGAGGAGATGAGGTGTAAGGGAGTAGTCTTTTTGGTTTTTCGAGACAGGGTTTCTCTGTGTAGCTTTGCGCCTTTCCTGGGACTCACTTGGTAGCCCAGGCTGGCCTCAAACTCACAGAGATCCGCCTGGCTCTGCCTCCTGAGTGCTGGGATTAAAGGCGTGCACCACCACCGCCCGGCAGGGGAGTAGTCTTTAATAGATGGATCACAATCCTGTTTTTCCTCTGGTATAGATCAGCCTTTGTATCTTGGCATGAAAAGGAACATTTTACTATTTCTTGGAGTGTAAACATAGGATTATTCCACTTGTGGTGGCAGAGGCCGGGTGATCTTTGAATTCAAGGTTAGCTGTGTCTGCTTTGTGAATTTCAGGCCAGCAAGGGCTATATAGTTAGACCATGTCTCATAAATAAACCTGATTGATTACATCTTGTGGCTTGCTAGAAAATGACAAATAAGGGGCTGGAGATGTAGCACTGCCTTGGATAGCTCTTTTTATTTACCGGACATGGGCTCCTTCATTCTTTTCCTTTTTTTTTTTACTGTGTGTGTGTCAGCCCTGGATGTGCTGGAACTTTCTGTAGACCAGGCTGACCTCAAACTCACAGAGATCCCCCTGCCTTTACCTCCCAAGTGCTGGAAGTAAAGGCATACACCACCATGCTTCCAATGTTGACATTCTTTTGGAATATTTCAGGCACTTAACATTGTTTCTTTATTGATTTTTAAAAAAATTATTGTGAGCTGCCATGTGGGTGCTGAGAATTGAACTCTGGTTCTCTGGAAGAGCAGTCAGTGCTCTTAACTGCTGAGCCATCTCTCTAGCCCCCATCCCCACCCCCACCCCCACCCTACCCCTTTTTAAAACAAAGTCTCTGTTGTTCATGTTGTCAACTCATTACATAGCTCAGTTTGGCCTTGACTTGAAACAATCCTCCTGCCTCAGTCTCTCAAGTGATGAGGTTACTGGCACGACCCACCGTACCAGACTCTCGATCCTGTCTGTATACACATTAAAATGAGTTTCAACAAACAAGCATATAAAGTACCGTGTTCTCATCTGTAATGTATTATTTCATTTTCTTAATCAGGTCAATTTCAAAGTTGTGGATATGGCTCAGTTGGTAGAATTCTGATCTACCATGCATGGAGTCCTATTTTATCCCCATAGCAGGGAATAAACCTGCTATGGTGGTGCTGACCTGTAATCCCAGCAGTAGGGAAGCCGCCCTCAGCTAGCAAGTTAAAGGCCACTCCAGGCTTTATGAAACCTGCCTCAGGTTTGTGATTCTCCAACTTCAGCTTCCTGTGGTGCAAGTTTATCATGAGTTCTGCCATCCAAGTAAAGTACAGCTCTAGCTCTTGCTTTCTGGGTTTTTTCTTGGCTGTTTTATGTAACTACTTAGCTTGGTTTTTGTTTTTTGAGACAATTTCTTTGTGTAGCTCTGGTTGTCCTGGAACTCACTCCATAGACCAGGCTGGCCTTGAACTCAAGAGATCCCGCCTGCCTCTTGAGTACTAGGATTAAAGGTGCCACCATATTCTGCATAGCATTTTTTTTTTTAATTAGATTACATAACTCTACTTAGTAAAGAGCACTTTTACTATTTTGTCCTTTCTTCTGGTAATTTTTATTTTATGTGCTTTGGTGTTTTGCCATGGGTGTCGAGTCCCTTGGAACTGGAATTAACAGAGTTGTGAGCTGTCATGTGGGTGCTGGGAATTGAACTCGGGTCCCAAGCAGTCTCTGCTCTTAAATACTGAGCCATCTCTCCAGCCCCTATTCTGATAATTTTTATATACATTCACCTTTCTCAAAAGTGGGCCAGTGGCTGGGCAGTGGTGGCACACGCCCATAATCCCAGCACTCGGGAAGTAGAGCCAGTTGGATCTCAGTTCGAGGCCAACCTGGTCTACAGAGCGAGATCCAGGACAGGTTCCAAAGCTACACAGTGAAACTGGGGGTGGGGTGGGGTGGGCCAGTTTTTGTTCAGTGTTCATTCTTAGACACCCACCATTGCTGCTGCTAACAGTGCCAAAATTTTATCCTCCCGTTCTGCCTGCATTCTCCCCAAGACACTCTAGGGGAAAGGGGGGCTAGGGCTCAGCAGGCTGGTTACCAACCACCCCACACCAGGGAAGATGGGGCCCATTTTGAT